AACATCTAAGGACATAATTAAATATGCATATTAAAATTCAAAATAACAGCAGCTAACATTTATTGACTAACATGTGAAGGCTCTGAACTCACCAATCTACACGCATCTTTTCATTTAATCCTCACGTTATTGTGGAGACAGGGCTATTATTACAGATGACGAGATAGAAGCCTAGATGGGTTTAAATAATTTGTGTAAAATCTAAAAGATAAGCAGTGGAACTGTAACATGTCTAACGCTAAAATACATGCTCTTAACCTCTGCTATCCCGTCCCTGTGGGGATGTTCACCTGAGTGCTTTCTAGAACGATGAATTGCAATCAGTCTACGTATCTGAGAATAGGGGACTGATTGTGTAGTACATGTACACAATACACGGCCCAAAAACATCACTCTCTAGAAGAACTTGAGTAACAGAGAATACTCTGTACTGTTACATGAAAAAACCCTGTTAAAAAGCAGTACACATGCATAGTGTGATTCCAATTTTGTAAATATTTTTTATTATGTTATATTACAGAATATTATATTTAAAAGGTGACAGTGGTATGAAAATGGTCAGTAAAGGTTATCTCTGGTCTGCAAGACTTTTATTTTCTTCTTTCTACTTTTTGTATTTCTCCAAATTTGCTACTGTGACCACTCATAACTTTTAACTAGAAAAAGTTATTTAAAACATATGTGACAAGAGAGACAGACATGTACTGAAAAAGCATATAGCTGATTTATATTAAAAAAATGTTGAGCTAAAATTTGGAAAGATTTATCTTCACTTAACATTCAGGGAGAAAAGATCCAAACAGTACACACATGGAAGACACTATTTCTAGGAATCTGCAAGTCTCCCAGAGTCCTGCTCACTCTTCAGAGACTAATGACCCCTGTTGCTAGGAGGAAGGGATCAAGGGTAGCTCTTGGTACGGCATGAGCACGAGGCCACACAGCACTTGCTATGAGAAGTCCTAGGAAGCTTGCTTCAGGAATCCTAGTCAGTAAAAAGAAGACATTCTCAAAGCACTGGCTCTTATAGTCCCCTTCCCACTAAAAGCCCCCAATGTATTGAGTTTACCCAAAGTAAATTCAAAGTGATCCAAGGATGTCCCTGGTTTTACTTAATTCTAATGCATACTTTCAATCATAAAAGCACACTATTCCACTTTTGAGAGACTGACAAATAATCTCAATCTTACCCAGTGCCTAGCACATAACAGGGCATCCAATGAAAGTAGAATGAAGGAATCATGAATGAATGGTTCACCCTCAGCCCAGCCATGGCAGGGAGAGGTGCTGGAGTATAGGAGCCATGTTTATTTTACACTTTTGACTAATCCAGTCTAGTACCAGGACCAAGAACTGATGAAGATGAGAGTATGTTCACAAAAGGGAAGGAAGACAGGGCTCCGCTTTCAGGTCTGGAGTTTCCCTGGTCTAATGGGTGATTCCTCAATTCCAAGATCCAAACTGTTTAACTTAACAGGTAGCGAGAATCTCAGGTACCATGCTCCACTTTCAATTAGATCTCACACTGCAGTCAGCTCTTGGCCCAGGCTGAGCCTCAGTTTGGATTTGGTTTATCTGTAATGTCCTCCTGGCAGAGGCAGCTGGCCTTGTGACTTTCAGCTGCTAGTTATTAGTTTTTCATGCCATTTCTCAGATGTTCATGATTATTTTGTCTGACCCTAGGAAAACCAAAGAAGAGAACAGGACAAATAGGTTGTTCGAGGGCCACTAAGAGGAGTGATAAAAACAAGATCTTTTCATGCCACTCTTTGCTTAGCAGGGCTGAGCTAAGGTGGTTCTTTTTTAGATTAGCAAGCTGTCTAAAATGTCATTTTTTTCTCATTAGTGTCACCTTACATAATAATCTGTTATTTTTTAATCTCTCTGCCCCTTCTACCACCCTGTATCCAGTTGTTACAAAGTCCTGTTGATTCTCTCTCCCATCATTTTAAGCCTGTCCTTTTTTCCTGACTCAGAGCAGCTATTTGGTTCAGCCCTTGATTGATAGGGTATGCTCTGCCTCATCTATTGCAACTGTCTTCATCTTCCATGTCTTTCTCTGATCAAATACATGCTCTACATTGCTGCCAGCATTATCCTCCTAAAACTAGCATCTGATCTAGTTACACCTGTGTTGGACATTTTTTTTTTATCACCCAGAAGCCATTATTTCAGGAAAGCAATCCTCCATCATTCTATTACTAATCCTGCTCAGTCCCCAGGGTTCTATGGAGTAACCCCCCTCCCCACCCTACTCCTCCACCACCCTCACTGAGGTGGCACAGGATCACCAGAGACAGGCAGAGGATTCAGGCCCTCCGGATTCATCTGCTGTAGGTCATGTGATTGGCATGAGATGGTGAAATGAATCACGTGAATGGCCCCACATTGACCAATCAAAGACCACCCTTGGACTTTCTGTGAAACTGTCAAGAAAGACACTCTTCCCAGTGATGCAAGCTTGAAGGACCGCTGAGGTTGCACTACCTGGGACAATCCCATGGTTTGGAATACTGCCGATGCCAAGGCAAGCACAGGTCACGGACAATGAGAAGCTAGAAGAAAGGAGTGGGAAAGGCTCCAACAAACGTAAAGATGTCAGTGGAGCAACTAGCCCCTGCCATGCTTCGGCCATCTTGGACTTACCAGTTATGTGAGCAAACGAATGGCTTTTATTTTTCCTTTTACTATTCTGCATTGTCTTCTTCACATTTTGTGTGCAAAAGAGTCCTAACACATACTACTCTACTACTTAGAAATTTTTAATAGCATCTTACTTCCTACAGAGGAGAAACTCCAAACTCCTTAGCACGGTATTCGAGTTCCTCAACAAAAGGGGCCATCTCAGCTTTTCAGCTTTAAATCTCCTGTCCAAGCTTCAAGTACTTTCAAATATTAAAGTAATAATAATACTTAAAAAACTGATACTCTCCGTTATAGCCACCAGAAACTCTGATTTCTTCCCCCCATGCCACTGCTCATAGTATTTCCTGAATCTGAATTATTCTTCTATTCTCTCCTTCACGACTCAGTCTTCCAGATCTAGGTCATATTAGGCACCAGTACCATATCTGACATTACAGCTTTCATATGCATGCATATCTTCCTCCCACCTGGACACTTTGCTGACAAGGAACGACTCTTTCTAAAGTTTCATCTCTAGCACCTGGCAATCTGTTTCAGAAAGCAGATACTCCACAAATGTTTGCAGCTCTGATCAGAAGTAAAAGGTTGAGGATTGTTACCTGTTAGATGCTTAATTCTTCCTTACAGTAGAATTTTTCAAAAATTAACCACATCACCATACAACCCAGAAATTGTACTCATGGGTATTTATCCCACAGAAACAAATTAACATTCATACAAAAACCTGTACATGAATGTTCATAGCAGCTTTATTCATAATTTCCCAAGACTGGAAACAACCCAGATGTCCTTCATTGGGTGAATGATTAAGCGAACTGTGGTACATCTATACAATGGAATACTACTCAGCAGCAAAAAGAACAAACCACTGATACACACAACAACCTGAGTAAATCTCAAAGGAATTATGTTGACTGAAAAAAAGCCAATCCGAAAAGGTTACATATTGTATGATTCCATTTATATAATAATCTTGAAATGACAAAATTACAGAAATAGAGAACAGATCAGTGGTTGCCAGGGGTTAAGGGTGGGGGTGAGATGAAAGGAGAGGCAGATGGGTGTAGCCATAAGTGGGCACACAAGGGATTACTGTGGTGATGGACCTGTTTTGCATCTTGACTGGATCAATATCCTGGTTGTGATAATGTACTATAGGCTAGCAAGATGTTATTATTGGAGGAGAGTGGGTAAAGGTACATGGGATCTCCCTATATTATTTTTTATAACTGCGTGTGAACCTACAATTATCTCAAAATAAAAAGTTTAATTTTTTTTAAAAAAACACACCATACCCCAAATCTGAACCAAAAAATAGATTCTCAATGCCAGAGTATCTCACAAATTAATCATAGTTTCAAATAAAAGATCTCACTGTGACTAGCGATACAATAGAATTTTCCCTACAAGAGGTGAGTCGCTCTCTTGAAAAGAGATGAAGAGAGTTTTTCTAGTCAACATGAGACAGGAGATTTCTTCACATATGAAAACTATCTTCAGAAACTGGGATGACAAAAGAAGTGATAAATACTAACAAGAGAATTGTCCCTTCCCAGAACACTGAGCAGGGACCCCGAGCAATAGTCTATCTCTACAAGTGCATGGCTGGGCTTCAGTGGGAATGAATGACAGCCACTGATCTGTGAAATCTGATCTGTTTGCCATTTAGATCCATGTGACTAAGGCTGGCTGCATTCATTTCTAAAAATACAGGAAATCTGCAGCCTAGGCAAATTTGGCTCATTGGTTCATGGGTTTTTGATTCGAATGCTGCACATTTAGAGGTAGTGGTTTTGTATTTATATCAGCCAGCTGCAAAGGAGATTCAGCTGCTAAAATGACAGAGACTAGATTGAACTCTAGAAGCAAAGAGGATCACAAGAATTATCTGCCTGTATACATTTTATCTGGAAGTCTCATGACACCTCAGTAACAGGGAACATGAGAGCTGAGGTCTTCGGCAAGCTAGAAGGATGCCCTTCCTTGGGCACGGGTGTGCCCCACTAAATGCCTGCCAAAGAGGACAGAGGGAGTCATAAGCTACTAAAGACAGAGTGAGGTCTGGTGGTCACAGGAGTGACTGAGTGTCACTTGGACTGGCAGTGGCTGAGTCCACAGAGAGGGTGTGGTGCATTAGACCTGCCATTTTTTCATTTTGTCCAGTCCCACTCAGGACCTCTTCCAGTAATGCCCACAGCCATGACAACTGGTGAGTAAGGCAGCTGATTTCTGGGAGTTACCTCTTGGACACCCCAATTCCTTCCCAAGAGGCTGACCATATTTAGAGACTTGGTGACTTTTCAGAGGTACCCCGCGCCTGGGACCTGCTTGGCAAAAGCCACTGCTGCACTCACCCATCAGCACACTCAGCAGCTTCTGCACTCTGGAATTGACCCCCACAATCCGGTAGAGGCCTTGCTCATTGATCCCTGAGAAGAGAAACAGTGATGATTTAATTAGATGCACATCAGAACACAAGTCAAGTCTACCCAGCCAAACGTACTGTTTTCATTTTCTCGGTCCTTCTAAAAGCCGCTCTAATTAAAGTCCCCTGTCACTCAGCTCTGCTCTTAGCGAAGGAGTGGGATTTGGGACAGCTGTCTAGGATTTCACGGATGTGCTGCCCAGTTCAGCCCTCATGTTAGTTCAGTCATTAGAGGGGACAGAAACCTTCCTCTTCTCCTGCCAAAGGCAGCAACTGAAGAGTTTCAAAAGACACACAACATATACTTTTAAATATGTCATATTTAGCCAGCTTTTTAACTTAAAAAGCCAAAACTGACATGACAAAAATTTCATACTACAGAAAAGGATAAATATTTTACAGTTTCTATTTTCACATACAGAATGAAAATATCAAGGTATAGGGGCATTTTTAATTTTGGAGAATGTTAGTCAAGACTGAGAAATCAGAAAGTCTATTTATTTGTAATGTAAATCTTCTTTATAAAGAAAAAGGAGGACTACCTTTATTCAACCCAAGGAAATGTGCAACTGGACTAGAAGAGGTTTACCTTCAACCACCCAAAGAACCGAAATCTAACCCACCTAAGTACATTGCACATTTAAGCGCAAGGATTAGATCACCACCATACCATTTACCAAAGAGGACAATGTAGACCAAGTGATATGAAATGACTTCTCTCCTGCTAGCCCTACCTCCATCATATCTGACACCTCTCAACTAATTGGTTTCTTGCTTCCTTTCTTATTCCCTTGATGTCCATTGTCCAACCAGTAGCTAAAGTGAACTTCTTAAAGTGTAAATCAGTTCAAATCATCTCTTTTTCTTAAAAGCTTCCAATGGCTTCCCATTGTATTTAGACCACTATCTAAACTTATGTGGCCTACAAGGCCCTACACTACTGAACACAGGCCCACTGTCGACTGCATCATCAACCACCTTCACGCTGCTCCAGTCGCATTGGCCTTCTCGTTACTCCAACACATCAACCTCATGCCCCCAGATCACAGCCTTTGCAAAGCTGTTTCCTCCACCTGGAATACTCTTCTCCCAGATCTTTTCATCATTCAGGTCTCAGTTTAAGTGCAACTTCTTCAGTCTAAGGCATCCCATGACCACCACTATTGGCCAGTCCCTTACCCTGTTTTCTTTTCTTTACAGCAGTTAACAATATCTGAAATTATCTTCCTTATTTGGTTTCTTGTTTGTCTTTCTCCCCATAACCACAACATAAACTCTAAGTACAGTGATCCTGTCTTCTTCACCATTGTATCCCCCAGCACCTAGATCAGTACATGATACAAGATAGAATGAATAAAGCACTGAGTTATACTCCATCAGGGCCAAAACAATTATACTTTGGGGCCAAAACAAAATTTCCTGGAAGAAATTTGGGAAAAGGCTGGTTCTGGAGCATCTTCAACAAGACCTATATAGAAGTGGAACTGTGAATAAAAGGAAGCAGTCTAGAATGATAGGATTTTACAGCTAAAAAGGACCTGTAAAAGCACATACATCATCCTGCATGGTTCAGGGGCTAGGAGCCCCTGGTCCAAAACTAAAGGATGGGCTCCAGGTTACTCAGTGACAGAACCATTATTTAGGAATGAGGCAGCCCAAAAGGCTTGTCCTTTCTGAAGTGTCTACTTCTTTTGTCCTTGTGCTTTCCTGGAACTTGACACAATCCTGGCTCTTGTTGGATGATGATTAACAAATCCCAGAGAGTATGGGACGTCTGTTCACCTCTGGTCACCACAAATATGTGTGTACATATGTGCATTGCAGCAGGGAAATAGCCACTTCCTTCAAGTATTTATGCTAAAATGGCATTTAACTCACACTGTCCTATTTCCTCTTTGTGCTAAATGAAAACTTTCTTAGAAGTTGAAACACGTCATTTTCATCCTCGTTTTAGAGGAGGAGGGGGACAAAGAGGCGGAGGCTAAGAGACCAAACCAACTGGTGACCTTCTTCTTCCTCTGCCACTGGCCGTGGATAGCTTCTTGTTTTACATCAGAAAAAGGTGTCATTCTGAGCTACTGGTTTGCATTTATCACACGGATTTGTGAAGGGTTTTAAATGATTAGGTTTCCCTCCTGGTTTTGGCTGCTGAAAACTGAGAGACAAAACAGGTGGCCCACCTCAGGCAAGTCTAAGAACTTCGTCATGGAGGGGAAAGGATTTTTGTCCTGAACTCACTTTTGGCACTATTTTCATGCCTCTACCTTTGTTAACTCAGTGCCTCTTATTTCTCATTCTTTTCTTTTAAAAATGAAAAGCAAATCAAAATGTCTGTTGAACAATTACCTTAATAATCCATACTTGAAAAAATTAGGAACTGCAGTTATAGAAAATAGATAAATCAAAGGAAGGCTGTAAAAACAGCAGAGAGAGCCACTGACAACATTGCGACCTGTGCAGATACGGCGCTCCCCTCTCCCTGCCATCCCAGAATGGGGTCCTACCAGTATGAGCTGTTATATAATTTACATTTCTCACTTAATATGTACCATGAAAATCTAGGATGTCAATAAATGCATTTCCACTGCATTTTTAGTGATTCATAGTTTTTTACTGCATGGATGTACTACTGTTGATTTAACCAATTTTTTGAGACATTTGGCCCATTTCTGATTTTTCACCTTAACAACACCTTTATGTAAACATCCTTATGGCTCAACCTGGCCCATGTCCTTATTTTTTCAAGATCAATTCCCAGAAATCTCATCTACTTCTACTTTATATTGTATGGCTATATTTTACACGTCTTTGCAAGCTGCCTTAACTCTTTATTGAAGGAAAGTGTAGCAGAAATAAGCAAACATTTAAAAAATGTTAGCACAAATTAAAATAATTACTTTGGAAAGAATATTCTTCCACTGAATACATAGGAGGCTCACACAGTAGGTTTTTTTCCTCTCCCCCTCTACTCAGTGCTTCATAATCTTTATAAAGATGCTTATATTTCTCAATTGGTAACAGTTATGGATCCTGCTTTAAAAGACAGAATTCTTTCAAACAAATAAAAAGCGTTGGTGGGTCAAGAGGCTGTAGAATAAATTAGATTCACATCTTCGACAATGATTCAAAGCAAATCCAGTGGAAAGACAGTTATTGGCTTTTCTGAGGGGTACAATAGACCAAGGCACTCAAAGCTCCAAGGTGCCGGAAATGAGGCATCTCCTTTGTGGCCGCCTCTGAGGAGGGGATACAGATCACTGGGATGAACCAGCTTCCCTGATCCCAAAGCCCCGGCCTATGGACCCAGGAAAAGCCAACCTGTGGCCGGCAGGGCCTGACCTCAGCACCACTGCAGGAAACCAGGGGCCCGACCCCTTCTCTCTTCCCGGATGGTCCCCCAGGGACCAGCTCTCCCCAGAGCAGGGTACTTAACCTGGGGTCTGCAGACCCCAAGAGAACCACTGGAGAATTCATGGTGTCTACGAACTCAGATAAGAAAACAATTACATCTTTATTTTTACTAACCTACAACTGAGAATTAAGCATTTCCTTCCATTATAATATAAGCAACAAATCACAGTAGTATTAGCAGTACCTGTAACTTTGTTAGAAATCACAGATATTTTTGTAACACATTACAATTACAGACATCTTGAAATATCACTATTTCCAAATTATGCTACTTATCATACCTACTGCTATAATTTGTTATTTAAAAGTGTTAACAAAGAAACACATATATTATTATATCGTAACTATGTTTTTCAATATTTTAACTGAATTTCAGTAACTGGATTCCCTATAATCCTATGTATTTGATGTGTATGTATTTAAAACATTCCTCCAATTAGCCATAGAGGTTGATGACAGCAAACTGGTTGAGCGCCCCTGCTTCGGAGCAATAGGACTAGTGGAAACACACCAGCAGTGGCACTTGAGGAGTTAATGAGTCACTTAAAGTCGGGAAACAGCAGGTAGCAGGTCTGACGTGGCACCAGATGCATGACCTTTGCTGAGAACAATGCCATCTGTTGAACTACTTTACCTCTGGTTTCCACGGCGTGGATGCATTTCCTGATTATGCTGAAGCCAATGCTGTCCAACTGTGCAGCTGAAAGAGAAAGAAAACGGCAGTCAAGGTGCTGGTGGCGCAGAACAACATTGGGACAAGGCTTGACCAACTCAGGATGAATCAGTCCCATGGTATGGCCACATATCCCGCTGATTTTCCCACTAAAGGTACAGGACTAATTTAAAAAATTAGCTGGCATTCGTTGAGAGCTCACTATATGCCAGGTACAGTTCTAAGTGCTTTGCATATATTATCTCATTTAATTCTCATAGTAACTCTGCAAAGTATCCTCTATTTATGGGTGAAGAAACTGCAGCATAGAGTAGGAACACTTTACCAAAGGAAGAACTAAGCATCCTTTAAATTGTTTTGTTATTATCAGGAGCTGTAGGACCAACTGCTTGCTGATCTCCTTGAAAAGCATAATGAAGTGCTCAATACCTGTTGGGTAAGTGCTTTACAAAGATTATCACATTTAACCTAGCCAGTTCTCCAGGCTGATACTATCATTAGCCCCATATTACAGACGAAGAAACTGAGATTTGGCAAAGCTAAATATCTTGACCAAAGTTGTGGAGCTAATATGTGGGAGACTCACTCCAGAGCCCACACCACCCAACCGCCTTAAACGTGACCCGGAGATAAAGAGAGGAGTAAAATCCTGCTCAGGGGACTAGGAAAGAGGAAAAGTGACCTAAAGGAAAATTAAAACAGCCAAGAACAAAGAAGCTACCTGAGGAAGAGACACTAAGACAGCAGAGCCATCCTCTATGTGGTAAATCAACAGGTGGTGACAGTTTTCCATCTGCTCCAAAATCCACTAACGTCACTCAGAAAATAAATGATCAACAGCAGCAACTTTTTCCACAGCACAGAACCAATTTCCAACCTGGCAACGGGGCTGGAAACCCATCAAAATTCATCCCCATACTTTGGTTACCTAGTGATAAGATGTGTGCAGTAATCTTTAAGAATGGGTTCATCTTTGACCTCCTTAGGACATCAGGACAAGACATTCAACAAACACATGTTCATAGTGGAGAAGTGAATGGTAGAAAGTAGGAAGGTGAGTATTTATAAATGATTTGTCATCACCCTAGGGCAAGAAATAAACTTGTAAAATATGAGAACTGAGCAGAACCTGAACTCATCTTGGATCTAATCCAAATGGAGTCTTTCTCCAATTTTTAATGTAAATGGATGAACGTAGATGCAATGAAGATAAAAATCCTTAAAAAAAATCACCGAGAATTCCCCAAATCAAACTCAAAAAGAATGCAAATTTCTCTTCCCAAGGGGAAACAGCTCTTGTTCTTACATGCATACTTATCGCTTAGTGATACTTATTATAAAACACACACCTCCAGGATAGCAAGTAAAGTACAGTCATCTGCTGCACAATGACTTTCTGTCAATGACGAACTGCATATATGACAGTGGTCCCCTAAGATTAGTACGATATAGCCTATGTGTGTAGTAGGCTATACCATCTAGGTTTACATAAGGTCACTCTATGAGGTTCATACAACAAAGAAATTGGCTGATGAAGCTTTTCTCAGACCATATCCCCATCGTTAAGTAATGCATGACTATACCAGAAAAGGAGGAAAACAATGTTTTTCTCCCTGGAGACCACCTGTTATACAAACCATCGCTCTTGTTCCCTTAAAGCTGTAAGGTGCCTACTAACCCAATCCCTTGCTTTTTCCAGTATACGAACCAAGTATTTAGTCTGCAAATTGTGTTGTATCAGGCTTTCTGACTCGAAGCTGTGAGTCAGATAGAAATCATTCTTCCAAATGAAAGTCAGTTAACTCATGCCATGAACGTTTCCCAAATTTAATAACAAACTATAATACACAGGCCAAATACCTGTTGGAATCTAGGGGAACATTTTTTTAATACCAGTTTTATTGAGATATAATTCACATAAAGTTCACTCATTTAAAGCTTACAATTCATTAATTTCTAGTAAATTTACAAAGTTATGAGTCAATCACCACTACCTAATTCCATAATATTTTCATTACCTCCCACAAAAAACCTCATATACATTAGTGGCTACTCCCTACTTCCCAGACCCTTTCCCCAGCTCCTAGAAACCATCAGTCTACCTTCCATTCTCTACAGATTTGCCTATTCTGGACATTTCATATAAATGGAATCACACAATGCGTGGTCTTTTGTGTCTAGCTTTTCATTTAGTGTAATGTTTTCAAGATTCATCTATATTGTAGCATCAATAGTTCATTCCTTTTTTGAGTAAATAATATTCCATTGTTTGGATACACAACATTTTATTTATTCATTCATCAGTTGTTGTTTCCACTTTTTGGCTATTATGAATAATGCTGCTAGGAACATGTGTGTACAAGTCTTTGTGTCAACATACATTTTCATGTCTATTCAGTATATGCCTAGGAGTGAAATTGCTGGGTTATACGGTAACTCGATGCTTTACTTTCTGAGGAACTGCCAAACTGCTTTCGACAGCGCTGCACCGTTTTACATTCCCATCAGCAAGGTATGAAAATTCCAGTTTCTCCATACCCTTGCCAACGTTTGTTACCGTCGTCTTTATTATAGCCATTTTAGTGGGTGTGAAATAGTATCTCATCGTGGTTTTGATTTGCATTTCCCTAATGACTAATGATGTTGGGCATCTTTTCATGTGCAGAGGAGGATTTTCATTCCTTTGTACAGTAGTCAGAATAGAGCCTACTGGAAAGTATTTGTCAGAGGGGAAATTATTTTTTATACTTAAGGAGGTTTCCAAAAGGTTTATAACTCTGATTCAATAGTCACTTGAAACCTTTTGGTTCTTCTTTTGAGAGGTGCGCAAGAGGATTCTTTCATAGGGATGATAGTCAAGGAAGTTTGGGAGAGAAAGAACTGCCATTTTGCACAGTGCTCCGGGGAGCTGCTGACACTGATTCCGAGCTTGCATGTTTTAAAAATAGGTTTATGAACATGGTCTTATTCTAGACATTGATGAACTTCCATCCTGGACAAAGACTGTTTTGCTTTCTTATCCTACAAACATTGATAAAAGTTTTGAAAAACTGGAAATAACCTGGCAGCCGACAGTGACGACCTCAGTGGCTAGAAGATACATGCTCATAAAGCCATCAGCCTAACTAGCAGAATAAATAAGGACAGAGCTAGACATCTCCCTGCAAAGGCAGATTAGTCCTTGAACTTTTTCTTGTGGGCCTGTGGGAAGCCAGATCCTTTTCTAGATAAGTAACAGCTAATGGAAAAGAATAAAATGGAACCTTCCAAGCATATCCAGAAAAAATTAAATTCCAGTAAACCTATGTTAATTACAATTACTTCTTTTGGAAAATGACAAAGGAAACTCCCCCCTCCCCGCAAATCCTCTGTGTAAATGTTCCTCTTTTGGTTTTCTCAACATTAGAAGTTCTCTGATTGGTTTTAAACCAGCAAACCCCTTTTCTTGAAATAAATCTTACACAGATGTTACCCATAAAGGCCTTAAACATTACACATAAAACACAGTATTTATTAGTATATATTAGTTGTCTAGGTTCAAACATATATAACATTTACATATTGCAAAGTTAGACACTAAGAGTTCAAGGCAACTCTGTTAGCCTCTAATGTATTCGAGTTGCATACTGAAGATAATTACTACAGTTTTAGAAACAGATAAAACTGTGTTAAGAAATGAAATTCATATTAAACAACAGTTCCCAACAAGGAACTCATGAAATACAGCTTAAATATCATTGTTTTAAATCTCTAAACTGGAACCAGTGTACGATATTACATTGCCTGCTGCCGCCGCTGTACTTCCCTACATCTGTCTGTCTCTCTCCATCTCAGTCTGTTACACGCACGCATTCACACACTCACACACACACAGGTTTGACTTCTACTCTCATCAACTGACTCCAGTTGACCCTGCTGATGGCACGATTAGGCTACTAATGATTAACAACTGCTTTATTATTTAACATGTACCAAGTACCATTAATGTGATAGGGACTATAGTGCATACATAATCAGATCATTAGTCCTGATCTCTGCCCAGCAGGGACATAATCTAAGTTAACTGAGATCTCCTACTCTGAAAAGTGAGTTCCCACTAAAAGGTTTAGAACACCAGCACCACAGAGCCGAGTTTGCTAATGACAGAAAAAGTCTGAGCGGCCCGCCAGATGGAAACGGCTGTCCTTAATCCCCTCAAGCAGGTGATTCAGCTCTTTCACTGAGCCAAGGCTCAGAAAAGGTCAGGGATTTATTTGCAATTTCTGTATCCTTATAATCTCCACAAATAATCTCTCATTAAATATCTACTAGGCTTGCATTATTCCCTTAATTTGACTTGCAGTGAGTTGTTGCTGGACCAGTGGCTCCTAGGCCTGACATCCACCATCTTGCAGCTAAGGCTTGAACTGGTTTATCTTCCTCCCTCAGCCTCAAGGTTGAGGTTAACGCACAGGGCAGCCCAAGGAGTTGTTATATAATGAATGTTTGCAATGCTCACACCAAATACCCAAGTTGGCCTGCCAAGTTAGAAATGTGTCATTCTCTTAACTTCATTTCAACTTTTGAAGCCTTGTCTCCTTTTAGAGAAAGCAAAGGGCTAGGGTCACAGAAACCCATTTTCTCAAAGTTTTATGGAGAACATGAGAAGACTGGAGAGGTAGGTTGACACTTGGTCAACCTGGAGAGTCTTAGGGCAAACCTAGAAGTGGGAGGAGGATGCCCGGCAGATTGTTGAGGTTTGCACTATCATGCCTAGCGTATGAACTCCGAGAGGAGGGAGGCAGGCTAAATCCAGAAACTGTCTTACTGCAAAGGGCTTAAAAGAACAGCATACTATAAGGTTTGATCAAATTATTTTCTTGTCTAAGAGGAGGTGGCTAATGGGCCAGGTAGACAGATATGGATTTTAGCATAACCGTCACTGCCATGTTCTGTAGCTTCTGGTACCTCACGGTACCTCATCTGACATGCTTTCTCTGGCTTTTTCCACATTCTAAAAGAAAAAAAAGAGGTGTGTAGGTGGTGGC